CACGCGATGTTCTTTTCGCGCCACGGTACCATTGTCCATGCAAACTGCAGTCGTTCCAACATTAGTAGTGAATCCTGGAAACTCGGACAAGACCGTCGCACGATGGAAATATTACTTTTATCTAACTCACGCTTCAAAATTTTCCACGCGTCTCTTAAATTCCTTGACATATTGCAATTCTCACGGACAGAGAAAAAATGCATAGCACGAGAAGAAGTATGTCTAGCAAATATAATGTAATAACACGGGAGGATTCTCTTCCGAATTGAAACAAACTTTTCATACAAATTTCTTCCCCTCTGCTTCGCGCAAATGGAGAAGAAACTCAGTTGTCAAAAGTTTAAAATATGAAAGTTTAAAATATAAATATGAAAAATACCTTCCTTTCTCTCTCTCTCTCAGGAAAAGGAAGAGGGATGTATTTATACGCTGTATATATGCAATGTTTAAAAACGCATGCTTTGCGTCATGCGGAATAATAACTCGCGGGTGAACTGCGGCGAATAACGAATTTGTGTCAGACTTTCAGCATCTTTCTTCGTAATTAACAGTTTCCCCAAAAAAGATTTGGCTTTTCTGCGCATTCTGAACACTTCTCTAAAAGAGATCCCATTTGGGATTAGCAATAAAAGCAGTAGCTTTTGCGGCACTCTTGGCTCCGGGCTGTCTGACCTGAAAGAAGGAAGCCTTCGGCTGCGCTCTAAAAAAGAAAAGCAATGACTCGTTACTTAACATATTGCATCTTCGGAGATAAATTGTTGAATAGATAAGTTTTTAAGTAAATAAAAATAGCTAAATAAAATGAAAAAAAAAAGAATGTCACGTAATAACATATGAATCAATTTGACCGTACAAGTATTTATCGAGATAATAGTATTCCTTTGTAATAAAAGAAACGCGCCAAGGGAAATTTCATGGCGGGAAAATTGCAAGGGGCAAATCCTCGCTTGTGAAAGAAAGAACTCTGGAAGCTGTCTAGTAAAAGAAATCTTGAGAAATTCTTTTTTGTTGAAAAAGATTTTAATAAATTACTGAAATTTTATACGAGCCATTGTGTTTTTGAAACATTGTCGATTAGAAACAAAGACAAATATATTTTTATAACAAATATTCGATAAAGATAATTAAGTATCAGGATAAACCAAGGAATGTTACAAACAATTAAGAACGGAAAACGTCAAACACGGTCAAAGCGGATCTTGGTACTTCCATAATATTCTAAAGTGTGAATCTTACGATTTTTTTAGGCGATTTATTTGAACAAAAAAATCGTAAGATCTATACTTTAAAATATTATGGAATCACCAAGATGCGCTCTGACAGTGTTTGGCGTTTTCCATTCTTAATTATTCGATGTAAAACTTTATATTCAACATATTAAGAATTAAATTATTTTGAAGTGAACGTAAATAGAAAATAAAAACTGATCTTTTGATTGATTAACAATTTGACTAATCAACTTTAACAGAAATAATATTTGCATGCCACGTAATTATAATTATCTCAAATAATCAGAAAAAATTAATAAAGAAATTTTACAAAGAAAATTCTCTGAAAAACTAATAAGAAAATATTTCCAGACAAAATGAGAAAAAACAACTTAATAATTTAAGAAATATTTTTATATTTACATAATATTTATGTAAATATAATCTTTTTGAGAGACATTCTGATTTCATGTACCTATAATTTTTACTTGTGCGTAATTTCTATTCGCTTCTAATTCTTCGTAGTTTTCTTCTTTTAAGGTTTATCGGTTTTATTGTTTTCTATTCAGTAAATTTTATCCGATTAAATTTTGTTTGAATCTGCTATTAGCTATTAAATGCTATTAGATGCTTTATTTCGGCGAGAAAGTAGTGTGAAGTATCCTGCATAGCAAGAGATTGCGAGGAATCCGTTTTCGCGTCTAACTTAAAGTAGCCAGAAGCTTGACATGCAATCGCGTGAGGGAGCGATCTATACGAGGAAATTCTTCAGAGGAGCGTTTTACTTAAAGGAAGACGATGTCGTGGGTCAGCGATTATTTAACACATTTTCTTCAACCATCTATTGGGTATAAACACGATTGCGTATAATTTTAATTCAATTATATTTTTGGTAACGGTTTCATATATTTTTGACAGCAGTTTCGTATTTTTTTTTATATTTAGTATTTTAACAATTGTTATGACATAAATATTATATGTACATATATTAATGTATTATACATTTATTTGCTGTTCGATTTTATACGGAATTGAAGTGAATTACTGATCACTTAAAAAAACTTATTTTATGCAACATCAAAGGAGATCTCGCGGTATTCTTGCACATGTAAATGTATGCGCCTGTACGAAACTTTTCTCGCGATAAGCACGATCATCCTTCAGGCATATGTTATTCCCGCGTGTGTCGTCAAGATGATAACTCGCGCGCCAACACCTTGAGCGAATGGCCGCGTGCAATTGATGGATGATTCGCGCTCGACCGCTCACTATTATGCTGTGTTAAGAAATCTGAAAATTTTGTTTTTTTATGTCGCGTTTGTGAAGGAGTTTGCATAAGGGAAAGACTTATGTCTCCTCTGCGAGATTTGTTAGCTATTATTCCGATATACGTATTACAGAATTGAGACTAAGATCTTAATATATACAGTGATAGCACAAGTTTTTTTTATATTAAACTTATCTAATAATTCTTCTATTTTTTTATATTAATATTTTTATTACCTATCTCTTGATACTATCCTGATAAATTCGATTTAAATGAACTCAGGATCGCTATGTCTTGTATATATTATCCATTATTATTATTAGCTTTTAATTTGAATTTATAATTAATTACTGGACTTAATTTTGAAATAAATATTAATTAATAATTATAGTATGGAATATGAAAGGACTTATAATACTTTTAAACCTAACAGGCTACAAACACTTTTTGTTCGTGACACAAGCTATAAACAAACTTTGCTGAAATTTATTATGAAAAAAAAAATTAAATTGACGAGCGAAAGGATAATTAGAAAGCAGGCAGAAATATTACGGACAATTAATTTCATGCGAAAATACATGTACGAATTGATCGCAAGATTTGTCGACGATTTACATTCTCATTTTGCTCTAATTCCTCGTCGCCGCTTCAACTGGCGCCGTCGTCAGCTGGGGGTTCTTTGTCGATTTATCGCTCGACTTTTATCACTATAACGAGGTTGTGTGTCGGAATAAGCACTTTTGTCACACTAACTGACGCCGGAAATATATTGGATATACAAACAACGGCTTTTGTAAAGGCAAAAATGCGAAACGTGAGAGTAGAACGTAATAAAAAGATCACTACATAAAATTTATTCGAAAATTAATTACATAATTAATTGGAATTGCTGTAGTTATAACATCCCCATATTATAATTGTCTTTATCTTTAGTACATTAGTATAAAATTTTATTGTGTGATAAATTTAGATAATCATTATAATGTAGAAAATAAAATAGAACAATGTAAAATATAATATAAGATAAAGGAAGAAGTTAATGTTTCTTCAATATTTTTAAATATCTTCCTTGAAAAGTGATTAATTAAGTAAAATCGTTATATAAAATTTATTAGAAAATTCAAATTCAAAAGTGACAAAAAATTATTGTACAATATTTGTGTCATAGTTACCGTATTTTTTATAAGGCATACTAAATATTCACACTCTGTTTATAATAATTTTAATTATTATAATGATAATTATAATAAAATGGAAAATAAAAGCGAAAAATAGAATTTAAAAAAAGAAGGATATTGAGATATTTATAGTATGATTGACTGTTACTGTCTTCCATTTTTTATTTTAAAATTTTAAGTCTCTTATATCTTTTCTATTTCATCACGTTATTATGTCTATGAAGATTAGCGAAAACATATGCTGCTTATTGCCGTTACGAAGGCTTAGCCGCCTCGACAAAAATAAGTAAATCGAATTGCGTAATCACCGCTGCGACGGATTAGAATCGAGCGAATTGATGGGCAAAACGGGGTTATACGCTTCACAGAAAAACAGATGCTTCTGATTAGCATGAATAATCGTTCCTTGTCGATGCTCTAATTAGTTACTTAACACGTTGACAAACATCCACGAGATATTTGAAGTAATCATTGAACATAATTTTTATTTTATGATTTGTAATAAAGAGACACAATGCAAATTAAACAGAGCACGATTAATATTTGTATTAGATTATTTGTCAATTTGAAAATTGAATTGAAAAATGAAATGTAGGTAAGGACACTCCTCGTATAGCGCAGAAAGTTTAGAAAGAACTCAGTTATATGTCATCAATTCTGATTTCATTTTCAGATGCAAAAAGAATTTTTTTTTTTTAAATTTTGAAAAAGAATTCTTTTTACATCTGAAAATAAATTCAAAATTGATGACATACGACTGAAGCGTGTGTGAAGTTAGCACTCCAAAAATAAAATTCTATACTTTTAATTACAGTTCCCGTTTCATTTTGAAGAAACGAAGAGTTTCCTATAGTTTATAACAAGAGTTCGGCTTAACAATTTTTAATTTAAATTTAAAAAATGGGATGATAACTTCTTATCAAAATTCATTATCATGATTGAATAGTTTTGTGTGACTTGTTATAAACTATAGGAAATTCGTTGTCTCTTCGAAATGAAGCGGTACTCTAATCAGAACTATGGAATTTTATTGTTGGGATGCTAACTTCACACGCACGACTGAATATACGAATAAATTCTTTTTGAACTCTGTGTATTATGCATAGATATTAAATAATTAAATAATAATTTTTACTGTTTTCTGAAGTATACGACATAATAAAAATTACTTTATATCTAATATATATTATCTATTATTATATTAAATATATTTTTTTAAAAGGTATTAAGAAGAAACCATCTTTAACATATATACTCACATGCTTATTAAATTTGTCATTAAATATTCTTGCTACTTAATTTTAGTTGACAAAAATTCATACAAAATGTTTGCGTTTATCTTCGTAGTTCCGGACCAATAAATCAAGGAAAACGCAAATTGAGCTAGATACACGGCCTGTTTTGTCCGCCAAACGAGCCTCAGTTAATTTTTAATCGCCATCAACATGCCCGTTAACGGAGTTCGTGTGCTGCCGGACATACCGAAGAATATGCCGAATATGAAGATCTTGATCCGGGAGTTCGAGACTGGCTTCCGCTCGGTGTCGGCCAACTGTCGGGATATCATATCGAAATCGTCAACTTCGAGCGACGGTAACTTCGTTAAGAAGATCGTCGAAGCTTACGAGTCAGGTGTAAGGGCGTTTAACGAGACTAGTCAGCGGGAACGAGAGAGATTCGATTTCTTTAACACTCTTGATGTCGCCCGGAATCGGAAGAATATGGAGAAGAGCGACTCGAGTCTCGCGATATGCGATGCGCCCAGCTCGCAATGTCGGAACAATTTAGACAAAAAATCCAAGATCTTTTTGTCTTCGTTTGTGGCACGCGAAGTCGAAGATGATTTTATAATTCTTAATCGGTACCATCCGGAGAGCGATAAAGAAACCGTTTCGGAGAAATGGCCGGGACTCTCTTCTAGGATCAATATGTACAGCTCCATGAACGATCTACTGAACGTACAATCCAGCCCTTCGAAGAGGAGTGAAACGTGGCATTTGAAGAAGAGAGATAAAAAATTGGCGGATAAATCGATGAAGAATAAATTAATGATTTGCTCAAGTCCTTTGGAGGATGCTGAAGACAAAGATTTGAACTGCGAGGATCCTCTTGACGACATCTTAACAAGCTCTTGCGACTCGAGCAGCGATAACAGCTACAGAAACTTACAAGCCGGCCTATACAACTTCAAAGACGAACGATGGCAGCCTGGACTCTCCTCAACTTCGTTGTCGTCGTTGAAGTCCCCCTCAGGCTCGGGATCGTACGCTAACATAAGCATAAATAGCGGTGACTGTAATCTGCGGTTGGATTCATCCTTTCAAGACGTAACCGTTACGTTTTCCAAAGATATTCCGAAGAACCGAGAGACTCGGGATTCCAAAGTTCCGAGTCCGTCTAACTTCAACCGGAAGTCGCCGCTAGCAATCGGTGCTTCGCTAAATGAAGATCGGCCGATCAAGATCGATAGCGATACCTGTATACCGTGGATATCAGCGATGGGCGAGAAGCTGTCGCGAAAGGGACCGCTGAAGTTACTGAAGTCGACACTCAATACGAAACTGCTGAACTACAAGAAAGTCTGGAAGAAATCGGCGGAGAAACAACCGAATGAACGTACCTCCGACTCGGGATTTATCAAACGGTTTCAATCTTCGTCATCTTCTTCCTCGCAGAAGTCCGATCCCGAGAAGCCGCCGACCTTCGGAACCTTCGGCCGCGCTAAAAGCGCCAGCGACAGCGGCAAGATCTTGTCAAAAAGTTCTCGCATGGTCCTGACCGAAGTGCCCCGTGAAAAATTCACGAGCGATTCCGAGCCTTCCGACTCGACCTCCTACGTATCCTCGCATCGCGCGACCACCTCTTGCAAAGAGAACCACCAGAACGTCGAATCTTCGTTGAAGAGCACGATACTCGCGAGTCCTTCGAAGTTGAAGGCCTCCTGCGGATACCCGCCGCATCTGAAGCACCCTTATTCGATCCGAAACGAGATCTCTAAATACCCCTTCGTTTCAAAGACAAAGGGGCTAGACCGAACAATGGAGAAGGAGTCGGTAGAGAAAGAGGAGAAGATGAGACGCGACGCGAAGGAACGTGAATCTGATACGCGTGAATTGGAGTCTTCAGGTATGTCGCCCGTATCTGAAGCTGATCTGAGTAGCTCGTACTCCAGGATGTCCGAATGGTTAACGTTATCTCTGAATAGTAGCTGCAATCTGTCGAGGTAATTATAATGATAATAACACGATTATTATTAATAAATAATATTATTGCACTATACATTCAAACGTAAAAATATGATACTATAATAATATTACGTATAAAAATATCAATTATTTTATATATATACAAATATATATTCTAAAATATAATAATAGAATAGAATGACGGAGAAAGACAAAATTTTATTTTGATTTTTTATTTTTTATTGTAAAGGTAATCGATAGTAAAGTATAAATAGTTTACATAATTTGCAATGCTTTTGAAACGTAATCGCTTTAAGATAAATGATAAATATGTGTTTATGAATACATTTGTCAGATCACGTCCGTACAAGTCAACGTCGGCGCTCGATGGGCTCGTTCCTCAGCAGACACCGGTCCATAATGTTCCTATGTTGTGCAACTTCAGTACGGATCTCTTACTTGCCATACATGATAACGTGCCTGACACGCGCCGTTACGCCACCGTTAGTCCGAAGAACTTGAGATTTTCTGTATCACGAGAGAAATTACGAGCGATTGAAAGTAATCTCGACGTTTAAAAGGGAACCAGCGATACTCCCCCTCGGGAAGAGAACTTTCGGCCTGGATGAAATTTTCCAGATCGCAGTTTAATTAAACTCCGTCAATTCTGAAATACGTCATGCTGGATAGTAATCTATCTAAATTATGATCAAGCTGCTCACACAATCGAATGTTGATCTTTGAAAATTAATTTACGACCGTTTGACAATTATTTATGATTACGTGCGCGTCGCTTCATTTGGATCTAGGATGGATTCATTGTCAGTTTCACTGGTATTGTTAGGTCGACAAGAGCAACTTCGATTTATGCTTGGTCCGTTGTTTTTACGTCGAAATGGTCGACAGATCATTGGCAGACGGGCTTGCCGCGTCAATTCGCTCTGACGTATTGATATTAATTGACACTGTAAATGCCGTGTACCGTTTTGTGCAATTGTTATATACTCGATAGAATTCAGATTCAACGAGCATTTTGACTGATAATTTTACTTACATATTTATTTATCTATTCATTAATCTATTTGCATGTCTATTGACGATACTCAACGAAGTTGAAGTTTGAATCTTAAAATAATTATCTCTTATAGCTTTATAACACCGATTTCGATGCGAGATTATGCGAGATATTCTTGCAAATGTCCCAATTAAAAATGTGATCCGAAGAGATAAAAATTCGATTTGTGTTTCGTTTATCTTCTTTAAAAAAAAAAAAACCATCATTGCCAGCACTCAGAGAGATTTTCACCAAAGAGAAGCTGAACGATAATGTAATTTTATTTTTTACGAATTTTCTACTGGAAAAAACGTAATACAGTAGTTTTATTTTTCAAGAATTTTCTACCGGAAAAAAAAGTAATTCAGTAATACTTTGCACGTTCTTCATAAATTTCGCGAATTAGTACTGCACACGAGATCGCACTTTTAATTATCTTTTTTTTAGCTTTTTAATATTGTATTCAATTACCTTACTGTTTCTCGTATTGCGTAAGAGATAAAAGGAATTTGACATTTGCGAGCAGTTCCATTTATTTGTCCATTTCTCTCGTCGAAATCGATAAGGTACCCAACATTCGACAGATTCGTGGTTATCCCTGTAGATCTTGTTCATTTCTCGCAAAATGGCACGACGAAGATTCTTTTAAAGATAAGAAGAGCGATATCATGTAATCTTTATTCTTATTGACAAAGATGCTCTCCTCGAGTCTCTCGTATTTCTTTCGGAAAAGTTGAGGAAGATCTCGAGTAGCAGTGGACGGATTATTAGTAGCAATTTCGCGGCGCAGAAAAACTTATACACTATAGTCTATAGTTAAGGGATAAGTGGCATTTTGATACGATAGTGTATACAATTGACTGCATCACACATTGTGTTCGAGAGATTAATATATACAAAATGTTACCCACCTTCGGAACTTCAAATATCCCTCAACAAGCAAATCCTTCGATCATTTTCTTTATCATTATTACGGTCAGCTAGATATAAATATTTCTTCAAGAACATTTTCACTTGCAGAAATTGTATAATCTTATTTTAATACTGCCGGTATATCGTTTGAGAATTGTCCCGATTCTCGACTGAAAATCTTGACGTAAAGCTCTGAAAATTACCAAGTTCCTTCCCGCAGTTAGACGTTCGTTAGGGATGTTTACGAATCTAAGATTAATGGTATGCATGGGGTCGACACATTGTCAACACAATAACACCGATGTATAAAGTGGAAATTTTAATAACGGCAGCAACACCTAAACGACGTCACGAACGTTTGTTTATACCTAACGGTCGAATGTCAGGTCGATTTGCATGAAATTCGCACTCGGGCGCACTACGGTGCTCGCGACAACGATCATCCGGCGTATAGAGATGGCAAACACGCGAGATAAAGACGGGATATGTTTGTTTGGGGAAGGTACTCTGTAATGTACTGGAAACTACACGTAACAACGGGCCGCTTTCGCGCGCAAGAGGGACGTTTATTGTCACCGCTATTCAGAAAGTGTGTAGAATTTTCCCGGTAGAAGCTATTCGTTTCGAAGAACGGTTGGCTGTTTGAGTTTCATGGAGTTTACGCGACACATTGTGTCACTCTCTTAATCCTGCGACGACGACGACGACGATACGTTTGTCCCGCAGGATTAGCTCGCGCAGTATTTTCGTAAATTTTCTTTTAACTGCGTTTATTTTGCTTGACTCAATTTAAAAAAAATCGTAGCGATGTCTTAATGTAGGTCAATTTCAATTTTATTAGTAATTAATTATAATTTTTAAATGGAATCTCGAAAATAATATTCCTTGTTCGTTAAAAAAACTGTTTATCTGTGATTAAATTTAACAGTATCGCCATTATCTGTGTTTTTTTGAAGAACGCTTTGAAAACTTTGTAATTGCCCGTGCGACATTATAATTGTCGTAATTGCAGCATTGTCGTTAGTGCAAACTGACAGCTGCTGTCGAGTGATATCGATATGACGAGCGACGAAATTCGGGAATTCCATTATTGTCTATCTATCTCGTGAAATTCAATTAATCCGCAAAACCGCAGCGAGTTTGTCGGCTCCGTTCTTCGTTCCTCCACATCCAGTGTGATTCCGGCGTGTCGAATTCGTTAAATCTTTCACTGCATGTACTATCACGGAGCTATCGCTCGTGAAAAAATTTGACGATTCGAAAAGGATTGATAGGAATTTGTTTGTTTTACACTTTTCGATTTGCGAAATCAGGATTTAGCTTGAGAACTCTTACACTCCTATTTCTGTGTGTTCACTCTAATTCGTGGCTCAATCGCGGGTTACAAAAGACAAATAATAGACGCGACTGTCTTTTTTTTCAAGGAATTAATTAAATTTAAAAAAATGTTGCGGTACAATATGCGTCTCGCAGAAATCTAGTTGTCTCACGAGACAGATAAAGCGAAAAAAATGCAAATATTAATTTTTTTAAAAATATTAATTATTATTGCAATAACGTTCTCCACCTGTGAAATTCAAATTTTTCAAACTCGAGCTTCAAAAATCCGTTCCCTTGAATGTTTGCCAGGTTCACTCTTGGAACGTATCGAGCCGGGGATATCACGTACGATCGCTCGGTGACGTAGGTAGTGGCGTTTGCAGTTTTCCGCCCACGTTTAAAAATGGGCAATGACGTAAGTACACCCATTGAAACTCGCCCACGTGTGTACACACAAGGTGATCCCCGGGGATATTCTCTTCTATTGACTCCTCGACCAATTTTTATTTCTATAGCCAATCTTTTCATCGCAAATAAATAAGAAAATAATATTCTCGTTGCCTTGAGAGCGCAATACTTCCGTGACATTTTTAACATTTTAATGACAAGCGAATCAATATTCAACGCTAGGGAAGATAACGTGCCGTTTTTATATCCGGGGCAAAATATACATGTGACATAAATGTTATATCAATTCTGTTACGGAACTGAAGCAAGTGTATTTGAAATGTGTGTTGCGTGAATTATTGCATGAACCTTCGATAAGTCATAGTTAAATATTAGCGACAGGAAAGATCCCATTGCTTAAGCATTTAGAGAAAAGGTCGAAGAAGATTTACGGTTCATCTTCCCGAGCCGTAAATCTCCCCGGGATTTAGGATTCTACCGTTCATGCTATTCATATCTTGGCGGCGGCGATTCCCATTAACGAGAAAGCGAGTTAACTCGTTTAACCGAATTAACAACGAAACTCTGTAACTCGAAACTCACCATAAACCGTCGCAAATTAATACGGCGAGGCTGGCCAGCCGATGTCGGCCAGCCGAAATCGCGGATGCCTCTCTGTTTTGTATCACACTTTAATTCATGAATGTGATCGCGCGAAACAAGGAATCTTTCTTGATCAATAGCTTCTACAATAGCTGCTTTTCCCTTTGCAAAAGTTTGCATTTTATTAAAATGTTTAAGATAATCTTATAAATAATAATATAAAATATTTATATAAATTATTATCTTCAAAAATTTCTAATAACTTAAGATAATAATTTCATAAAAATAACAATAAGATTTTTTTTAAGTATTCAAAATATGTAGTACAACTTTGAAGATTATTCATTTTACTCCTTTACAAAAATTTATTATCAAAAGGCTCAAATAATTATTTTTGAGTATTAAAAGTATTAACAAACAGTTCATTAATGTTCAAAATGATTATTTGACCCCTGCAGTATTAAATTTCTAAAAGGATCTGAGTTTCCCTCCGATGTACAATAGATATCACAAGACTGCGGAACATCTGCTTAATATAAATGATTTTTTTTTCCTATATCGCATGATCAGTTTGAACCATGGGAAAATCACGTGCATCTGCTTGGGAAAGAATAACGTCGGCGCGGAAACCAGCGAAAGGAGCAATTTTCCGGAGCGATGGCGTGGAAAATAGATGCATCGCCGCCGTAGTAACATTGCCGACTGCCGATGACGGCGATTTTCTCATTTTCTTCCATTTTTCCTCAACGACCGCCGTTGTTCGCACCTTGTAATGTCGTTGAATGAAGAGAGTCACGTTTTCGCGAGAGACCGCCGGCACAGAAAGTCACTGCAGGACTGTCGTTAAAAATATGTAGCTAAGAAAGATTATAAAAAGCTCAAAAAAGGTAGGATTATTATATCCCCCCCAAACGTTCTGAGAATAATGGGAATAATAGAAAGCCTCTTGAAAAGCAGAAGGAAAGTTTTCAGGTACTCAGGTGAAAAACGTAATCCCTCGAGGGCGTGAATTATTATAGTCGGTTCTTCGCACAGTTGTACATACTTGTGAAAATGCACTTTTACAAAGGGAGAAAACAGACATTTTATTATTTTTTTTCTTACTTTTAAAAATGCACACGTACAATCTTCAATATTAACGGTATCTGCATTTCATCATTGTTTCTCGTCCTTTTTTTTTTACCTCTCTTCCGTACTGAATGTTTCCACAAAGAGAAAATTGAGGCATTGTCAATAATGTCAAAAACTTTTCCGACCGTTGTTGAAGTAATGGCGTACTCGAGAGCAATAATAATTCAGGTTGTATTTGAGAGAGTCATGTGCATATAAAATATAATGCATTGTTCCTACAGTATAATGTATTGGTAAAAAGGAAAATTATCATTGTTTAAAATAAAGGAAAGAGAATATTAAAACATTTCATTTTTTAATAAGCAAATACTACCTAATTATAATAAGATATTAATTTATAACTAATTCTTATATGTAGAAGAAATATGTATTTATTTTTTCCATGTATATGAAGGAAACTATGTACACTAGATATTGCAGTGATGCAACCTTTGACTAATCTCCAAAATAAAATAGTTGGCTTTTAATAGCATCAGGCAGAATAGAAGCGTACATCAATTTCTTAATTTAACAATTCAAGAAGAAGTCACGATAGCATCTAATGTATTTGATATGGTGTGACCGCTATATTATAATTATATAAATTTGAAAAATATCTTTTATAAATAAAGTTGTTAGAGTAGATAGATCTCTTATTATTATTATTATTATTATTATTACAGCCACATGTGGACATTTTTCTCTAAAATTTCCGCATCGCTCACTTCGGAGTCTCTCATTATCCCGCCGCAAGCAAGATGAAGTAATACTATGCAAATTCACTGACGCCAAATTGACACGGGACGTCGGTTAAAAAGAGGCTTTATATAAACCGTAAGCAAAACACTTCGTTTGCATTCCGCAACTTTTATCGAGCTATCATATCGCTTTAAAATATATCTTTCAACGTCTTTCAAGATATTGTCAAAGATATTAGATACTTGTACATACACATACTTATATGTGAATGTTTCTTCTTCTTTACAATACTTTTGAAATATTGATGCAGTAATATTTTTATCTTTTTAAGTAACATGTTCTTCTAAACGTGTACTATGAAATAATTGATAAAATTCTTCATTATTTAAGAGAATTAATTATTTTTATTTAAAAATATATTTGTTTAAAATATTTTTATTTAAAAATAATTAATTCTTTTTATTTTTATTTAAAAATAATTAATTATTTTATCAAAATAGAATATAATGTAGTTTAGTGCGTTGTCTTATTTTGTGAAATATCTTCTTGGAAGATAAGAGGGAACATACTTTGAAAGGGAAACGCTCGAAGCTTCTAGTATTGCTTAAAAAATCTAATAAAGTACTTTTGATTTAGCGAAGGATAATCTCTTTGATCATGTCGAATCTCGACATTTCCTGATAACGCGGGATCGTTACTTACCTTCGCAGTGGTGCAAGCACACTTCTTCGTTATTCCACAGCTTTTGACGTAATTTAGTAAAATTTACATCAAAGCTAGAATTTAGATGATGAGAATATTGTTTGAAACAGCTCGTCGTTTCTCCTTGGTGTTTTTGATACTAGAATTAGCTCTCATTGTCAACAAAATCTCATCTAACTGAAATGACGTAATATACTTTCGCATCGCGTCCTTTGAAAATTCTATCATTTCTAATTTAACACAACACGAAATTATTCTACTCCGCTGCCGGAGTAGATTAGATTTAATTTTATTCCTTCGACTTTGTCTCACACAGCCTGTGATATAAATCATTAAAATTTACATTCCGAAATTAAAATTGAAATCAAGCTAGAACAAGCGTAGGCTTTACAATGGAGCTTTTATATTTTTCTTTCTGAATTTCTTTCTACGTAAATTTTTAGATGTTCTCTTCTCCGTCAATGTACGTATATCGAATTCCCCGTACCTTCACGCGTTGATGCAAACTTATCAAATTTTGCAAGAGCATTGCACTGAGAGATATGAAATGTATAAAGGAAAAATATGTCAGAAATGTGAGATTGTCGGGGTTTATATTTTTCCTCGATTTTAATATTTCAACATCTCTCATTTTCTTCCCCTCCCCTTTGTGCAAGCTAACGTACATCTCTTTCAAAGGAGAAGATAAGTGTGTTTACTCGAGTAAGAATTATTCGACAAGTGGAAGGAAGGAAGAGGGATTATACTTTTATTGATAAATACAATAATAATGTGAAAGAGAGGTGAACGTTGTTGAAATTTGAGGAATGAGTGAGTATAGCTAGTTTCCTCCTTCCTTTGCTTTTAACGATCTATCCGACCATTATCATTGTTCAGACCTTTGTCGCTCGTGAGCAACAAACAAGTCGATCGACTGTCGTCGAAGTCCTACGTACGTACGGCAGTAGAGAGCTTGTTCCGCTTCATGTTGTTTTTGATGTAAACTAATAAAATATGTCGATATCGGCGACACCCAAGACGCTTTGACGGTAAAATCCAGATTGTCGGTTTTATAAACGATCCATCGTGATCGTAACGTAAAAGCTCCCTTATGATCCGCGATTTGCTGTGCAGAGACGCGGATTTCGCGCCTCGTTATACAGGCATGATTGACGTGACGTTTTCATTAGCTGTAATAATGCGACACTTAACGGCGATACACTCAAAGTAGTATGTCAATATTCTTGAATTATATTGGAAGTAAGGAAGTAGGGATGAACAATCCAGTTTTTGAAGCGATTGAAGGAGACATTTTATATTTTAGTTAAGTAAATTTAATAAAAAAAGATAAAATATGTACAAATATGTAAAATATATAAAAGACCACGCGTATAAATGTATGAAAAATTTTTATTGAACAATTTCCTTTTGGAAAGTTTTTGATACTTGTTGAATTTATATTATTTAATTAATTTTAAACAATCGGTAAATTATTTTAATCTTCAATCTTCGTCGAATTTATGAAAAAACTATTATTGAGATATATGTTATTGAGATAATTATTATTATTTATTTATTTATAAACTAAACAGGAAACTGTGAGAGTATTTTTTTCAGAAACTTTCTTCGTAACATTCTAATATGCTGAAATTCTAGTATGCTCGAGCTGGAAATTCTTCAAGCGTTAATCCTTAATTACGGTAAAGAAGTTTTGCAAAATACATACACTATGTTTTTACGGTATGGCTAAACTTTGCATTTTGCGAAAACTTCTTTAATTGCATGAACGACTGTGATTATGATAATTGTACTTTGCTATACATAAAACAAAGTTGAGTATTTTTCGTTTGAAAAGAGCATCTACAAAATGAAAAACGAGATTTATACGTGATATGTAAAGCTAAATAAAAAAATGTATGTAAATGATATAAAATAGTATCAGTTATTAAATATGTAAATATATTTCAAATATAATATATAATGTAATAATATATAATTACATATAATTATATTCTAAATGTAATTATGTTTTTTAATTACATTATAATTATAATTTTATATATAATTATATTTTATACATATAATTATATTTTAACATATAGTTATATAATTATATTTTTTATTTCATTTTTTACCTCATTTGTTCACGTTCTTGTTTTATCTATAATTTAGAAGAGATAATTTATAGTAGTGTGTTATATATCTATATGTTTTGAAACCTCAGATAACCGTATCACGTAGTTATATTAAACAGTTTTTCCGATCGATGGATGAATCGATCATAAATTGTGCACGCAAGATTAACAATTTACTCGAGGCGAAGTCCTCGCAAGTCAATTCCTCGCGCAACAGTACTTTGCAATTTATGAAATTGTTAATTTTCTTCGCGTCAGCTTAGAACATGGCGCTGTAACATACAATGAAAGTAACCGATAGTAAAGCTTTGTGTATAAAACGACTATGTACAATACGATCGAGAATTTTTGAAGATACGGAGAAACATTAAAATAACTTATCTAAAAATTATTTACGCATTATTTATTTTTACTGTATTGCTTATTTAAAAATTATTTTTATGTTACTCGTCGCACGTATTTAAAATCATATAATCTTATATTATATACAAAAATTTTTTTACACTGTAATTTAATTGATAAACCCATTTAAATATATCCAGGTGTTCAATTATGATTTCATGCAATCTTGATGCGACCATTTTAAAAATTCGCTTCGCACGTTTGGGAAACGCGGCTTCTTTTGAGCATTAAATCTAAAAGAGGCTGCTGTAATCAGTGACGGGAACAATTCGCATGCAAATGCTGTTGCGCGCAGCCTCGCCATCGCACCGCGCGTTCGTGCTACCACTGAGTAAAGCGAAAGTAGTTTAAAGCGGATGTAGTCGAACGGAAGGAGCGAGCTCCTGAGAATTCATCGGAAACGAAGAGACTTGATAAAACTTAATCGAACGTTAATTTCTTAAATTTTAAGTAATTTCACAAGTATAAATGTTTTAAAAAATTAAACAGTATATCGTAGTAAAGAGACTTATAGAAAGAAATTTATAGTTTCTAATTACGGAGAAAAAAATGTGACACATTGTTTATTCTCGCATCCAGAATCTATTAATCTATTTTATTGTAAAATTACACAAAAATGATTGTTGTTATCGATTATATCAAATATAAGGAAACTCAATTTTGTTTATATATATTTATCTAATTATCTGACACATTATTTGAAGATTGATTCAAAATTGAACATTTTTCATTCACATATATCGACTCAATAGAATATACGTTAGAACACACATTAGAAATTTATAGTTGAAATACGGAAATACGGATCTCGCGATTTCCTTCACTTTTATTGCGTTCCAGCGCAGTCTCATTGAAGTTGCAGTAGTATAACCAGATACGTGGTCATCAGCGAGGCGATCTGAAAGCCATATCGATCACATAATGATTTTCCAATATCCGAATAAAATCCGGGATAGGTATTCGATGTATCTGAATAAATAACAAAATCTAAATTACAATGCTATCATAACGCTATTTGTGAATTATTTCACAAGGTCATTTCGTTCAATCGCAAATACTTGAAGCTAATCCTTGCCTTTTAATATAATACAAAATATAAAATAATATAATAATATAATAATAAAAATTACAATATCCACAATACAAAACACTGTTAATTATTGTTCATTATACATTCCCGAATATGTACGTGTAGAATCTTCATGAATACGTGCTACATAATTGCGATCTAAATATAGTACCGTCAATTCCGAGACAATTTCCGGCAAGAAAATCGGAGTTTCGCATTAAACAGAAACTATCGTGAGTACTTCGAAGGGTCGGGTGCTCTCGAAGTTACGTACTCGTACAATTGCGCTACTAGCTGTAAAGTTTCGCAAGTACCAATTCCACAAGCGGCAGCGAACCGACTCGAGTACACACGAGCCTCATTCACAGTTTGCGGGAATCGTGAAATCGAAGGGCGTGTTTCCGGCTACGGCGATTTACGAGCACGTTTACACTAGTGTTTACAGCGCTCCGAATTCGCTCGGGATACTAGGCCAGGGCCAATTAAATTTTACCTTCATCATATCACAGCATCCGAAACGAAAACACTTCGATACGTTGACACATATGGAAAAAAAGATGTATTAACAGCATTAGCCGACAGCATCTGATTGAAAATAATATTCAATGTTCGTTCAATATCAGAATTAATGAAATAAATAGCTCTTGTTTTAATAAAATGTTATTTGTTTTATTAATATTGGTATTGAATTAACAAGATTATTTTCAATTAAACTGTTATTGGCCAATACTGTTAATACAACATCAATGTTTTTTCTCCGCGTATTCCATAACATTTGTTCTTAGCACATGTTTATTGATTGCGAATATGACTATCAGTGTTTATTATATTTAAAACCCACGTTGATGAATATTCCATGCGAGCTTTTCCGCAAGCGCCGCGTACACAGCAATTAATGAAAATATTTATATACGCGGCAAAAAATATATATATATATTATTTTATATGTGCGCGGGCGACATACATTTCAATTTAAAACCATATTACGTTTATTTTTAATTTATATTTCGATGTATGACTTCTAACGTTTATTTTCATTTCGCGTTTCACTGTGACTGCTATCTTTGCCGTCGTGTATATCTATATTTTTACATGGAAATATCACGTCCGATAAACGTGACGCTTTAATTAAGTATCTCAAACCGCCAACGTGACGCGGAAAATACGTGAAAACTCGTTCTTCTTTAAGTCGTATAGCTGCTGCGTGATGATATCGTGGTGAAAAACGTGTTTAATTTTCCACGCAATCATCTGGATAATTCAGCAATTTCGAAATCTTGACGCAATGATTTACGTTTATTCGTAATATCTCGATGAGAGAAACGAAGGTCTTAATGCCGCGAAGCGTTCGCCGTTATCCGGTATTAATCCTTTTAATCTTTCGACGTGTTCCACGTATGCACGTAGCGTCGCTCATCCGGTATCAAACTTTTGGCTAAGTTGAAATTTGAGCGACAAATCACGGGATTAATCGCTACGTACTTGCGATTATTCTCGGATGCATAGGAAGTAGAATACCCGCGGTATAATCCGCCCAACCGAGATTCTTATGTAATCCACAATAAGAGCTACTTAACTCCAAGCATTGTTTAATTAATTGGCATTGCAAACTTGATTAATTTAATTAATTTATACGCATATATATACATATATATATATATATATATATATATATATGTGTATAGTCTGAAAAATATAATATTTACAGAATTAAATAAAGTATATTTTGCATTGCTCTGTTTTCTTACGTACCGAACGTAACAACGGGAGATTCACGTAAAAGCATCCGCCAGCGGAGAACTTAAGTTTTCGGTTTAGAAACTGCAATGACAATTCCATGCCCTCCTGCATTCAGAGAGATAGTGTGTGAGAGAGAGAGCCAGAGAGAGAGAGAGAGAGAGAGAGAGAAGTCTTTATGCAGATTACGGTCGTATTAAAATGATTGCTGAATATAATGACACAGTCTCAAAAGAGATTTTACGGAAATTGATAAAATTACAATTAGAACAAGGAAAATTACATTTTACTGGACAAAGGATTGGATTTGATCTCTAATTGGAAGAAAAATAATGAAATATTCCAAGCTTCATCTACTTACTTTATTTTTTTTCATCAGTCTTACTTGCCACTCGATTAGAATTGGACCTATGCAATTAGCCTGAAACAAACCACATTTTCACATTTTCTATTAAAAATATTCTTTGCTTATATTTATATACAAGATGTTTCCTGTAATTCGATCAAGTTTTAAGCAAAAAGCCCATTATCGAATATGACAAATAAATGATTGTCTCGCACTTTCAATAAGTTTCGGGGTATTGGTCGCCAGATCTTATGTCAATTTTTTGCTCGTAATATTTTCCCCTTTGAAACGAACAATTCTTCTCTTTGATATTTTTTTCATATCATTAAAAACAATAGAGATATTCTAAATCGAGTTACAAAAAACACTCTGCATATATAAATTTTTTAGATTCTAAAAATATTCTATTTAATCTGCATATATATGCCATGATTTATATGCAATTGTCGGAAGTTTGCACATAAATTCTCTTTTTTACGTTGGCATCTCGACACCTCTTTACCATTCTTTTAGTTTAAAGGGACATTCTAACTTCGCATCGGCAGAAAAGTTTTACTTGAGATGAGGCGAAGTCACAGGCGATATGAAGTAGTAACAGTTGGAAGAGATACGCCAGTAGCCAGTTGCAGAAGCAGGAGACTAGCGGCCACGACTCAACGTCCCACTGCTTCACGAGCATCCACGTGATTACAAAGTATATGTTGCTAACGGTGTGCAGGCTTAGATGGCCGAGCCAGAAGAGGAGGGACAATGAGTACAACGACTCCAAGTCCTCCCCGGCGATCATCAAATCGTTATGTAGACTCAGGATCGTCTTTTGCAAACAAATAAAATTGTCATAATTCGTTTGCTATCAATTTAATTCTAATATAAAAGTTTATTATTATTGTATCTAATATTTAATTTAAATGGAAGCAAATTTTATATTCACATATACGTATAAAATTCTGCAATATATTTTATTATTTTTATATTATGTCATTCTTTAAGAGGATGAGTGAAACCTTCTTGCTAATGACTGTTCCATTGTTCTCCGTCGACGGTAGATTTTTTAATGCAATCGCGTTAAGGTGACGAAATCGCTGGCCTAGAAAAATAGCCATCGCCGCGAATTTGTAGACAGACACTGATGTACCGATGTAGGGCATCATATATCCCATATTGGAGGACCATTTCTCCATGAAGGCGTACATTCCGATGCGATTAATCATGATCCAAATGATCGTGGACACAATTATGAGAATCCACGCAACAATCGCGGTCCGCATTTCTTTGCGAGGATAGCCCAATTGCCTGACACTCTCGTCGTAATCCTGCAGCGCGTTCCAAATCCTGACAAAGCTGCGTCTCGTGAATGCCGCTAAGCCCAGCTCGTACATCACCACGGTGTAGTTGATGATCACCTGAATTTGATTTTAAACATCGTCTTCGGCTTTCGTTGGTGTAAAAATTAAAAATTTAAGTACTTAATTAGACGTGTTGGAAGACTCGAACGAATTAAAATTAATTTAACGCGCAGCCGGTTCTCTGGCTGAAGTGAATTTAAATAAATAAATAAATTCTTGATTATTTTTTTTTTTTTGGCAATATGTCTCTATCGCGAATAATCTTCTGCACTGTCTCAACTGATTTCTTACCTTCGTGTTCTCTGTTCCTCCAAGAGTCCAAGTTTCCCTCTTGACACTTAGAAACCTGGCAAACACCGCGTACAATACGTAGCTGTAAAAAGTAGCGGCGATCACCGTGAAGATCAGGTTGATATTCGACGGCACCAGGCGATCTTGCGCGAAGTTGTAAGGGGCGAAACCGAATATTCGCACGACGTAGATCATTGGCCAGATGACCTTGTAAAGAGGCGAGTCTGGACCGCGAAACTTCTCGACACGTTTCTTCTTCATTTTAGCGAATATGGTCTCCATATTTAAAGAGACAGGTTGTATTGCCTTCATATATCCGGGGAAAAATCGATCGACGTTCTTTAAATCAATAAGATCTAGCTGCAGGCATGAGTCCCTCCCTGATGCAGTCTTTACTAATGAGGTAGAATTTGCACCTGTCTAGAGCATAGATAATTATCCAGTACACAATCATTTGCTTTTAAATAAAATTTTAAATACAACGCAGACAAGGACGCACTTTATATGTAAAGGGGGTGTATTCGAGTGGCTTGATTATTACACGATAATGTAATTACATTAACACTACCGCCGAAAAAATATAGTTATAATACATTGCGAGAGATAGAAGGAATAGATAAATATAATTGAAAATACCGTGAAAATGTGAATTAAAAAATGTGAACATAATACTCAATTGAAATAGGGATTTTCATCGCAAATCAACTGTGTGAATTTTTTAAATATAAATATACATTAGAAAGTTTCAAATCTTTGCGAATTACTTAGATTGTGCTCCATTCCTCTCGAAGTGAGAATGTTGCGGTGTGATGTCGTTTCTCTGTACGTGTAGACTCGTTAAAGTTAATTATTTGTTAAAGTCGATTAGTGCGACGGACGCGGCGCGAAAGCAAAGTTTACAATCGTATGGAGGTCGATAATGTATAGCTTCCAATCAGGTCCATCTTCAATTTCGTGAGTAAATATTGAATCAACGAAGTCCTGAAAAGTCTGTTCGCTTTTGCCTGGTGTCCCGGAAATCACCACGTTCATCGATCAATTGCATTGTCCTAGAAAACGCAACGTTCGAAGAACAACGTGGAGCTACGATAAATAAAACTGTAGGAAGAGAGTAAGAAGAGAGAGAGAGAGAGAGAGAGAGGGAGGGAGGGGAAGCACGGAAACTACGGGATAGATGAAGAATTACGAAGGAATGGCATAAATCTTAGCAAGGGAAGAAGACAATTTTATTCTTCTCCAACTGCAGTTTCTCTTGAAACGGCAAGTCCGCGATCGGACGCGATAAAATCGACTATTACGTTCGAAAAATTCTGAGTGTCTCTCGCTCTCCTTATTCCAAAAGTTAAGCGAATTTTAACGTGACCCTTGGGCTATTCCGGAGCTGTCGCAAAAACTCAAACTTTTTCCACGAGTTCGACGGCAACTTTTCGTCGGCTGGAACGTTATAAATCCCGAAAATATATAACTCTCGATAGAGAGAGAAGACGAGAAGAGGGAGGTGGGGGGGGGGGAGGTAAGAGAATGGAAAAATACAAAGTTATATAATCTCGAAAATATTAAATATTCGCACGAGATTCAATCATCCATCAAAAATAGACGGCCACTTCGGTCCAATATATTTACTGAGATTTATCCTTTGCGATTTATCCGTGCTCGCCGTAATTAATTCATTGCGTGATCGCGTAAATTGGAAACTTTCGGGAAACTGTTTCAGGCCCGGACCCGTATGTACCTACTCACATTACAGGTCGAGTCCTCCGTAGCGCATCGATTCGTCCCGGACGACGTCGCGAGAACTGTGTGAGGACTCCGGGGCGTTTCACGGCACTTTCGTCGCGCGCGATAAAACGGGATTAGAGCCGCCCGCGTAAACGTACACCCGCGAGACGGGCACACAAACACAATGTCCGCGCGCGAACACCGTTAAATATTATTCCACGTCGGCCCCGAATGAATAATTGAACAGCGGAGAAGAATAACAGGTGGAGACAACCGGTCGAAGCGCGGATGCGCCCGCAGATAGCATACAATTGTGTTGCACGAAGAGCCGGCCTGTTTGCATTCAAGGCCACGTACGTCGCGACAGCACCGATTTTATTACAAGGGACGCACCCCATTTCCCTTCGATTTCCCAATGAAACTATCGTAGAATAGAGATACGGCACGGATATACATATTTATTTCATATCCTGAGGTACAAACAGCTTATATTACCATTTGTGTGATAAAACAATGCAAAAATTAAAAAATCTTTCAAGAGTTGAATAACGAATACACGTTATTGTATTCTATATGAGCAATAATTTTCGAAAATTATACATTTATTGCTTTAACAACAATAATGTTAGAAGTAGAATATAAAATAATAAATATTTGTAAAAGTCAAATAATAAACGTTTTTGAAGTAGGACTAATAATATTATAATCCGTAAAAAATTGTGTAATATTACATATAATAATTTAAGAAAATAGCACTATTTCTTCTATTACATAATTTGTATAAAATAATTTTGATAAATTACACGTGTGCTGCGTGCAGGCGTTCTGGTATAACGTGAAATAATAATGAAGCCGTAACATCAAAATCGTGGACACAGAGAGTAAAATAATAATCAAATTATAATATAAACACATTTCCAACTTGGAACGTGAAGGGGCGTCGAATGTAGGCGACTGTACATGTACGTGAATAAATAGCGTGATATACTAGACACAGAAAATCTAGGGTGAAGAACTATACCGCTCGGACGACGCTCCCGAGAAATGTAATTTAACGCGGACGGGCGATATGCGGACTAGTGCTCGAAACAGCGAGAGGAACGGAACGTATTTTCATATATTTTTCCGGCGAGAAAGCGACGGGACCACATATACCAATCCCAAAAATAATGCAAACGACATAGATAAATTGTACATATAGATATATCATACATAGACTTCCGTAGATTGAGCGTTTTTTGCGACAATTTCTTTTCTCTGCTATCTCTACAATTTTTTATAATAATAATATGGTATTAATTAGATATAATTATCGGGATGATAGAAATATTAATATGATAATATCAATTAGATATAATTATCAGGATGATAGAAATATTTAGACTTATTTCGTCAATTATTGATGTTTGGATAGCGAACGATCGATTGCGATGAGCGTTTGCAGTAAGCGTATTACAAGAGTTAACTGAAACAATTCCCTTTGATAACGGAAACGAATTTCGGGTATTTTTGCAAATTATTCACTGCATATGCATATTAATGTCGTGCGGTTAACACGTCAGAATTAATAATTAGAAGGACACGATATTACGAGGCCATCGAGCAAACAAGAGTTTTTAGCTCGAATTAAATTCGAGCATTGTGCAGTAAATACTTTCTTTGATCTCATCGTCGCTACGAGACAACTCGATCGAAATAAAAACAAAAACAAAGAAGAGAGAACTGTCAGTGGCCGGAAGAATAGAGTGGAAAAGAGTGCTTTTAAGGACAATGCCGTGAATGTTGGCGGCGAACGCCCCGTCGTGACGTCGCTGTTCCCGTTTCTCGTGCAATTAGACGGAGGCGAAAAAACCTGGCGACGAGGCGACTGAATGCCATCCAGGAATAGTCTGCATATTAAAAGAATACACATGTCATGGAAGGAACGTGTAGAGCGATAAGTCGCGAACGTTATAGCGCTCGCTCGCCGGTGATCCCGGCGTATGAAGCACGAGAAAAATATTCACGTCCACGTTATAACTTCTCTTGGGCTAAAATTTAATACAGATGAAGAGGGAAAAAAAGGCTGACGAGTCGTTTCGCGTTTTTTATCCCAAATAAAATTCATTTCAGAAATAAATCCTCGGACAAATTGGATTCCACTTTTAGAAATAGGAATTTTATACAATGTGAAACATATATATATAAACTGAAGAGAAATTCATGGCGTACTTCTTTTATAGTTCATAGTTTAATATTGATCTAATCAACTTTATTTCTAATTGAATAAGACAGATTAAAAATCAACTTTGGATTGATGAAGAAAACTGTTCATGTTCCACATTGTTTAAACGCCTCAAGGTAAACGCGTACCACCGAAGTCATCCTCTGTCACGACAGCTAATTAATTATTCCGATCGGCGCGAGCAATTAAATCCGCCGTATCCAGATAATGGAATGGCATGATTTTCAGTTGGGAACTTGTTCGGAGAATAAACGCCAGTCTTATTCCTCAAAATCGTTCTCCGCTTCTTTTAATTTCTGCCATTATTTACAACTTTTTGCGATATTTTCGAAAAGTAATAATCGCTCCAAAACATTATTTTTGCCAAAACTGCCGGTAAAAGTATTTGAAATTTACTTTTTACAGTGCATTCATTTGGATGGTGTTTTCCATTAAATTCAGAAATCAATTGACTAATGTTTTCAAAAGAAATATGAGTAAATATCATTTATTCGCAAAAATATTTTATTTTGCTTCTACGTATTGCCATGAACATTTTTTATTTATTTCTTGATAGAATTTCTTTATGTAAGCCGTTATTGCCATATGCGTATAAAATTATTCTTATTAAACTTTAGAGAGAAACATTTTTTTATAGAAAATGTGATAATTTCACTTTAAGAAATAATATTGTTTAATGTATAATATCGCAAAAATTATTTTATATACATATGATATATTTTCTAAAACTCAATACACGCTCAATATATAGTATTATAATTGTATAAAGAAAAAAATGTCACTCTATAACAGTCTAAAATAACAATTATTATAATAATAATTATTATCATTATTATAATTAATTATAATAATTATTATTATTATTACATATATAAATCACATTAAAGTATATCAAATTCAAATTCAAATCATAACGAGGAGAGTCTATAAAAGACGTCATCTTTATACATGTATATTTTTATTTTTATTTCAAGGAGTATACTTATCTTAAAATAATTTCAATTTATTTACTTAGTGTATGTATATATATATATATATATATATATATATATATATATACAGATGTATATTTAATTTACATTCGATTTACTTCTCTGGAGAATCTCGGCAAAATGAAACGAGTGCGCCCGAGGCGCAATTTATCTGTCAACGCGGTTTCCCACGGGACAAGCGCGAATCGCCAGTTGCGTCTGTCCGTCAAAAACTTTTATCCTCAACACACCCAACCTGTCCCGTTTCCAATCGCAATCCGCCGAAAAATTCCCCGGAACGTCAAAGTCTGGCAGCATTCGAGGCGGTGAAAGTACCGCTCGATTCGAGGCGAATCGAAATGTCGTGGAAGCCACACACCGACGCGGCCGTCATGAGAGTGATCAAGGACAATCTGCTGAGATGGACCTGCGAGAGACAGGCTACCGGCTGTCCCCTCGACAGACATCTCCTACGTGACAAGGCCCTCGAATTGGTCGGCGAGCACGGACTGACCGGCACGTTTCCTTAGAATCCTCGCGTTGCTCGAAGGGCTCGAGGCACGAACGGGGTTAATCCGACGATCCTCGCAAGCTATTCACTTCGATATCGCGATAACCGAAGGGATAATATCATAGGCTTGTGCCGAGCAGTATTGAATGTACCCTTTGAGTTCAGCAAAAGAACGACGCGTTCTTTCCCGTTGAGATTTTGGTTTTATTCCTGTCCCAGGAGAACAACGTCCGTTCTCTAATTTTTATTGCCCTATATAAAATTTTAATTCCAATGTCCGGATATTGAGATACCCTGTGTGAAATTACATTCAGTGTGTGTTCATAGAAAATTTATGAATAATATACAAGACATGTATTATCGATATTTACAATATTTAACATCACGTCGCGTTTACGTATATTTTTCTTTCCTTTCAATTTCCGATTAGACTTTAAATATTCCGAGAAATGGCTGACATCCTTCCTGAAGAAGTATGGCCTCTCGTTAAATGAGGAACCCAGCGGACCGGTCTTCAACAATTACCGGCTCTGGATCAACATGATGCGATCCGTCATCACTCAGTACAAGCACAAAGACCTCTTCCACGTGGACGAGTTGACGATGTACTCGGACGTTTCCCCTACCAGCGTATCGGTGTCGACAGCGCGGCAGGACGAGCCCGATACGAGTATGAAGAAGACGACGGTACTGTTGTGCTGCAACGCCTCCGGCACCGAGAAGCTGCCGTTATTGATCTGCGGCTCTTATCTCGCCGTAATAATGGGAAAGAATCACGTGTACAGTCACAGCGAGGACGCTTCGGTGAACGATGGTCTCTTCAGGGAATGGCTGACGCAATTGAACTGTCGCATGTCGAGCAACAATCGCAGGATCCTGCTGCTGTTGCACAGGAATCGCATCGGCGCTCTTCGTGATCTCGAGCTGAGCAACATTAGGCATGTCTTTTTCCCCGATGACTTCCCGCCGTTGTTGAGGCCGCTGAAGAGGGACGTCTTCCATTTCGTCAAGATGGCCTACAGAAGAAAGTACGTTCACGAGGGGGGCGACTGTTCCCATTAATTTATTCACGTTGCGAGAGATTATGAATTTATTCGCGCGATAAAATTCGTTACAATGTAATTTATAACTTGGAAGCAAGTGTGAAATTTTGCAGAATATTTTAATTCGTAATTTCGTTGCTTGAGTCGTTAGTTTTTTTTTCTTTCTACTACTGACGTGTTTAAGATATAAGCATTAAATTTTGAAACTCTAAAGTTTGGCAATAATATGAAATTTTCCACGCGCTTCATGCAAAAGACGCAAAAGGACCGCAGATCAAAAGCAGTCTGTAGTAACTTTGTCCGCAAAACATGAATAATAGAATGTAAAACTTGGAACCGTCAACGAAAATTTCGCAGAATTTTCAGAATTTCTCTCGTCACGTAGAGGACTTTTGAAAAATTTTGAACTATCTCTTGGAATAAACAGAAGCTCGCGCTTCAAAGGCTCAATTATCTCGCCCCGCGAGGAAACTATCGGAAATATTCGCCGTAGGTATGTGGAAGGAATCAGAGAGCGTAGACACCGTTGGAACGTCGAGAACGTAGTGAGAAGCTTGGCGGAAGCGTGGCAAGAAGTCCCGCGCGATCTCATTATCGCCAGTTTTCAGCGTACGAGCTTTCGGACCGACGATTGCTTTCTGGAGATCCGTTGCGACGCGTGGGAGGACCTGGAGACGGAGGTACCTTTCAGGAAGTTCGTCACGTTCGACGATTATCTCACGGCCGGGGCATCGCGTAAACAGTGCGAGTCTACCGGCAGGAGACACAGCTATAATCTCAGGAGCAGGTGAGTCGTCAGATTCGACGTGATCCGCTCGATTTCGCGATCAATTCGAAGGAAAAAGACCTGATTGTTGATCGCGCGTCGGTGAGTGAAAATTTAAAAAAGATTTATGCGAGAAGGGATGTCGATTGGAAGAAAACGAACCCGCTGAAAAGATCGCATGACGAGGCTCAATTAGACGAAGACCTTTACGAAGAGGCTAAGCCGTGCGATGAATCAACGTCGAGGGAGAATAAAGATATCGCCGGTATTCCAACGTCGGCGAGGTCGGCTTCGAAGGTCGTCGACATCCAGACGATCGAAGGTACAGCTCGCGGCTCCAAATCCGACGACGTCCACTCGACGACGCGAGCGAGCGTGAACGAATCGTGGACAGACACGGAATACGATCGTAAACGCGACGAGATGGCCAGCGAGGAGAGATGTAAAAATGCTCGAGTATCGGGCAACGTGCGATCGATCGGATCTCCGGAGACCGACAACGTGAACGGCGACGTTGCGTCGCAACAAGTGTTCGACGACGCGTCTGCCGTTGACTCGGGCGCAAAGCGGCCGAGCGCGAGGACGGTCTGCCGCGCCATTCCGAGAGACGAGACGGTCTCCGATCTGGACGGAAACGTCGAGCGTTTCCCGCGGAAGTCGCTGAAAAGACGTTCCGTCGACGTCGACGAATCTCGGAATAATTCCGACGATGATGAACCGGAGCGGAAACGATCGAGGTCCGATTCCGATTGGACGAAGCAGTACGAGACGTCGTTCGTCTTCGGCCCGTTTGACTTAGCGCGAACTGCAACTACTGTTTCCGCCGACGCCCTCGCAATCAGTGGTAGCGGCGTACCGCAACCGAGGCGCTCGTGCGAGACGGAGAGGAGTATCTTTACCATAAGGCCCAGGAGAGATTGAAGACGATATCTTAACGGCAGTTTACAGTGAGTGAATGCATTTGCAAATGTATTCCTTGTTGTAAAAAAAAAATGTATATTTTGAAAAAAGTAGCAAGGCAATAATCGTAATATTATAACTTCCTCATATTATACATGTTTCGAAGTTTTGATATGCTAAAGATATACAATGAAAAGATGATGGAGAATAATTTAATTAATTAATTTTTTTCTTTTTCCTATTACTACTTCGTTTTATCTTTTCTTCTGTATGCTTTTTCTCTTTGTCTTTCTTCTCGTATACTGCTTTAAAAAATAGCCACAAAAAAATAATACCATTTTCCTTAAATTTAGAGAAAGATGACGGATCTCGGGGAATCTAAAAATCGACGGAGAAAAGTATGCAATCAAATATCCAATTGTGTGCACAGTAAACAATTTTGTAAAAACCACGAATGCCGCTATAAATCTTACACATAATGCTTCTCATCGATGAACGCAATTACGTAGGCGACAATTTATTAATTGCAATCGATAACGGACCAGTTAATCACACTTACTACGTAATAAACGCTTTGAACAAAAAAAAACTCTCTACAAATCATTATTACAGAGCGTAATACAGCGCGCTACGTGTTGTAGGTAGAAGCAGAGGAAATTCCCTTCGCGTAAAGTCGCGTTTTCTCGCGATATGCAATCGAGCAAGCAATATGGAACTTACGGTTCGAGCGAAAGTTAATAGTTTTCTCCGGTAATTCGCGAAATCGCGCGTCCCCGCCCACGTGGAAAATTACATCGCCCCGGAAACATCAATTCAGACTTGGGGGAGGGGGCGGGGGACTCCATTGTGCGCTTCCGCCGGATTTCTTCGGCGGATGCAATTTCCCCGAGTCGCGTTTCCGTACGAAACAAAGTTGCGCTGCCGTCCGAGGATTCGTAACAGGCTTGGCGGAGGACGCGATTCCCGGACGAACATCTCCAGCTCTTGAATAATACGATTTGTACACCCGGCGCACATCGCTGCACATGAGCGATGTTGAAGGATTAATGGCGCGTCGTCACAGAGGGCCGTAATAATTCACAGTCAGGGCCGGGGTGGAGAAATATCATGATTAAAGCGATAGATAGATTACTTTAGATTTCATAGACTGATAAGAGGAAAAAAAGATGAATTTAAAATTATTCGATTTTGCATATAAAAGGGCCACGATTTAATGTTGCAAAGAAAATACTTTATATTATCAGATAAAAAAGAAACTATAGGCAATTAAGAAACATTACACACATATGGCAATAAAAGATGTTTTGATTTATTATATTTTTATACATTAGTATTTAATTTCAGTTTATTAATTACATTATCTGCTAAATAATTATTATCCCCTATATTATACAAATTATTAGATAATGTTAAGTACTTGGAATGATTAATTAAATTATTGAGTTATTAAATCTATTTATTAATTATCTATTTGCTAGTAAATAAATCTGCTAAATAGTTAAATAATTAACTGCTGTAATTAATATAATAAAAAATTTGCTCAATAAACTCATTTATCTGTTATATTAAAAAAATATATATATATAGGAACAAAATAATTTCTTCAAGTTTTAAGGCCTTTTCGCCAAACATTTAAAAAAACAAAAAAAAATTCATTAAAAATTTTATAGATAGAAAGATTAGTATATTTAAAAATGCGTGTTAATTAAAGTTGACCTTTCAGCCTAGGACACCCTGTCCTAGAACGATGTAGATCCATCACCGCCTACTTGAATTTTTTGTAACATTGTTATCAGACTGTATATATGTATGTCTGTGTGTATAATTTAGTACTTTGTAAGCTGCGCGTATATCCTCTTCAAGAGTATGCTTGCATGAAGACATTTAATGCGCTTGCATCTAGCTGCACGAAAGACATCATTGCACACTGTATATGGGCGAGATGCAATTTATCATCGTGCAACTTAGCAACCGTCGTCGTCGTGCTCAACATAATCGATTTCCGTTGCTGTACTCATTCGAGGATATGAGGCACCGTAGATCACGAGTATTCTCAGGCTAAAGTGCACTTTAGACGATTTATAATTCGCAACAAAATACTATGTTTGTAATGTTGCGATATACAATATGAGAAAAAAATTAAAAAGTCCAAATACACATGCACACGTAAAATTATTACAATGTGTTGTGTGTGTGTGTGTGTGTGTGTGTGTGTGTGTGTGTGTGTGTGTGTGTGTGTGTGTGTGTAATATATACAAATTTTTAATACTTAACTTACTTTTAGAAATACTATTACTATTGTTAAATAGTAATATGCAGTGTTCATATTTTTACTTATTTTTCTAAGTACTTTTTGTACTTAGAAAAATACTGTATTTCCTCTAGTTTCAGTTATAGTACAATACTGACGTGTCGGAGCATCAATCATATCCCGGGGACGAAATGTATCTCGTAAACACATACAAGCGAACGCACACATGCGCGTGAAGTGTGCGATCCGATTCCGGAAATATCTGACATGTACTTTATTTCCGGGATCGAGTCTAATGTACAATAGAACCACATCTCTCTGCTCTAACATCTAACTTTACTGAGAGAAAGAGACATCTCTGAAACGACTACAATTCACAATTCTTTCTTTAATGTTCACTTTTCTTGATAAAGATTAGACCATATTATCTAAAGCAAAATGGAAATTCCGTGTTGGCTTCGTATTATGATAAGTGTGGAATTATATAAGCTAGAAAGATAAATCACGTAATTATATATGATCGGATTTTATTTATTGACGATGAAAATTAAACTAAACAATTTTCACCATTATAAAATTTGATATGCAAACGTCTATAAAATAAAGTTTTAAATTCAACTTACCAATTCACAAAATATATTTATTCAAATTTCTCCAACTTTTTAAAATTTCAACAATATAATGTTTTAATTATATTGATTAATATATCATTAATTAATATCAAATAATAATTAACATGATTTACAATGTTGTTGATATATAAGTTGATACAAAAGTTATTTAAATTTATTAGTTATTACTAGTTATTTAAATTTTTTAGATATTAAATAGTTGTTTAAGCTATTTAATATTTTCAAGAATGTTATTCAAGATAATGGAAAATATGTACCGCATAGAATTACTAATGTAGTAATTCATCGGCAAGGTAGAGACACGTGAAAATAGAAACTTATTAACATTTTTTTTCACCTAACAATTCTATATTGCGATATTGAACCTCTTCAATAACAGACAGCGTTTTCTGCAGTATTTCAGCGTGCACTGCCGATTCGTCCTGATCGGCGTTTATAATCGTCCAAGTATTGTCTTTTAATTCCTCGTAATTGGCATCGACACGCTGTTGAAACTCGTCATGCTCAAACCTTTCCTTTCCCCAATCACCGCGCTGCTCTTGCTGCTGCTTGGACACCTTGAGGAACATCACGCAGTCCGGCTTCGGAAGACCCAGATCGGCCTGCTGACACCAGTTGAGACTTCTGCCGGTGTTAGCTGCCGTATACACAGCGCCGGAAGCCGCGTATCTGTCTATCACCAGAGTAGTGCCGGACAGAAGTGCCTTCTCCATGTCCTCCTTGCACTCCCAGCGATTGGCAGAAAACAGCAGGTGAGCCGCCTCCGGTGGCACATTTATCTCTTTCGACAAGAAACTATTTAGGATGGTCCCAACAGGAGTCTTCCTGTCTGCAAAAGAAAAATGAAAAAGAAATGTTTCTTTAATTAATGTTTCCTTAATTACACAAAGTCCGTGCTGAATATTAGACAAGTTTTTAATTAGGCAAGGGCTTTAAGGATTTATTTATTCCTTAAACAATTTATTTACTTCTCGACTGACATAATTAATTCTGTTACAAAATTATTTTTGTTATCATTGTCCATCTTTTCAAACAACGCTCTACCTATAATTTATTGAGTTTGCAGGTGCTCCAGTCGTCAATCCACATTCAAAACAAGAAATGCAACAATATAACAAACACAACAAATGTAACCACGATATGACAAATAATGACATCCTGACGATATAAATATATATACTTCATAAATTATTATATTTTTTCATGTTTGTTGATTGTTGAATTTACAATAATCTTTTCCCGCGCAAACTAACCTAATTTCACGACACGCGGTATTTTTACTGCAACTCACTTGGAAATGCACGTGCTTTTGCGGGAATCCGCAGATCGCTCAACGCGTTCATCAGCATCTTCACTTGGGTCGACTTGCCGGCCCGATCGCAACCCTCCAAAACTATCAACGCGCCGCGTTTATACATGTCAAATATTAAGTCACAAACACGACGACGCCGGACAAAGTCAGCTGATGATAAAATCTAAATATAGAATGGTCGTACTATCGTTTCCCCTTCGACAGTTCGACCTTCCTCGGCAATTCGCCTGCTGCATCTGCACGCTACGTCCATCTAGCGGCCGAAAAGAAGATATTTGTCAGATGGTACTTTATGTTCGAACAAGAATCTGAGAAATTTAATTCGTGTGAGTTTTTACGTGAGAAGAAATTAAAGCGAATTAATCTTAAAATGAACTAAATAATTAAAGTGAAACTTACTATTGCAATTAACTAAAAATTCTATTTTTGAAAATGTATTTTCTTAGGTACATTTTCAAAAATAGAAATAAAATATAAATGATATTGATATCGTGATGATATCGTTTTAGTTGTTGCGATATCATCACGATATCAATATTATTTATATTTTATTTATATTTAATTTACTTATATAAAATTATTAAAAGTGTAGGGTTAGTCTTATAAAATTTATATTCAGATTTACATTTTATAGTTAGTATATAAATTCAAAGATTTCAGCGATCACTCCCCATGATAGCACACAGAGCCCAAAAGAATTCGTTAGTATATTTAGTTTTATGTCATCAATTCTGAGTTCATTTTCAGGTGCAAAAAGAATCCCTTTTTAGAAAAAGAATTCTTTTTGCATCTGAAAATGAACTCAGAATTAGTGACATGTAACTGAGTTCTTTTTTCTCTGTGCTATCTGGATCGCCATACTACTTTTTTCTGTAACAATTTTTTAATTGTCATTATGTATCACGTTCAGTAGAAAAACGGGATTGTGGTCAAGTGAAAAGTCATTTGTGCAAAATATTTTAACACATTATTTTATTTAATTTTTTTCCTTAAAAAAAGAATGAACTTGAAATCTCGGTTGTTGGGTTTGTTCATTTGAATTCTGGCGAGTAATGGGCATTTGTTCGAAGCGACGATACACACTAAGTTTGCAAATTGAACTAGCTATATGTATATATATATATGTGTATATATATATATATATATATATGTGTATATATGTATACATATATGTATATATGTATAATATTTATATATAAGATAGATTTTCCGCTTCTCGCACGTTTACAGCGTAGCACATCAGTGATGCATATTTATGTCTTTATATTCTCCCTGTTTTATTCTCTCTATTTTTCTTTCACACACTTTCTCTCTTTCTCTCTCTCTCTTCTTTAATTTTCTTATTCTTGTAGGCACGCTTTCTTTTACTGTCTCTCATCTACACATTCACACCTTTTCAAATGTCGGTATTTTCGAGGGCTTTAAAGAATTTATGATAGATAATTTCTCACTCAATACATTAACATCTATTTTTCTGTCTCTTTCTTCCTCTTTTTTTCTTTCTCTCCTCTCTTTCTCTCATTCTCTTGACACAGCGTATAGATCATTGGCAGGTGTACATTCCACGTGCACAACGTGTACTTAATTTCTTGAAGAAAAGAAATGAGACATACATACATGTATGTAATCGTGACACGCGCGCGTCTTTGGTTTTTGAATGGCAATTTAAATTTCATATTTTTCATCTGTCGCTAATAGAAATCGTAAATATTCGAACTTTTCGCGCAATTGAAATTCGACATCCGTTTTGCTATTACAGACACTTCGACGAATTCACAGCCGATAATTTCGAAAGTTTGCTGGGAGTTTGTGTCACGAGCCTTTCCAAATTTTCAACATTAAATCTCGTTAATTCGTTAAGTGAAACTTTGTTGATTAAAAATATATTTCAGGTTCTTTAGAAAGTATTAAATTATATGCATTTAATTATAGTAAATAAATTTTCGAGGTCACTTTACGATTACGTCATAAAAGATACATCATAAAATTTTCTTTAAATGAAATTCATCGAAGAATCTGCAATCCGAAGGGAAATACTGTTACACATGCTGCGTCGCAGACGAAAGAAATAAGACTACTGTTTTTATAATTACAATTGGCCGAATCTTGCGTTAAATTCGGCGTGACACGCGCGCGAGAGCACGATTATTAATTACTATATATAAAGGTACAATCTCCTCGTTCGATCCCTTAAAAAAAAAGAAAAAGACAAGTGTTTTCTTTTTTCTAGTATTTTCGCGTACGTCTACGTATATGTGTATAGATAATATACAGAAAACTTTTTACAGTGGTGGGAAGCACGACGGGACACCGCGTGGCGCGTATGAGATCGCGAATTCCCGCCCCGCAAACGTCCGGAGGAGCTTGCAGGCTTCCGGTTTACGAGACTCGCTTTGAATTCTCGAGTCCGAATTCTGGCATCTCGTGAATTCCTCGACACGAAATTTTCGATTTCACAAAGTTTTAAGAGTGAATTACATGCTACGCTCCTCCGGCGTGCGAATTCGGCCGCATTAAGAGAGAGAAAGAGAGAGAGAGAGAGAGAGAGAGAGGAGATAAAGAGAAAGAGAAAGAGAAAGAGAAAGATATTAGTAGAAACAGTCGGAATTGTGTCAAACGATCGCGCCGCACGGCAGCGTCAAACTTTCTTCACTGCCGTCGTGCTTCCGCATTGTGCCGCGTAATTTTCTACGCGCGTGTACCCTTTCTTTTCAAATTAACTAATTTCAAAGTTAAAGCTTTCAACGGATTCTTTCACGTTTTTCCGGTTTCTTTTTACATTTACATAATGCTCACAACGGCACGTGACTATTAGAGTCACAAGCAACGCGTCGCGCGTTTAGCCCTAAGTGCACGGCTTGGAGAGTTGAGCGATGCGAAGAAATCGATTTTTGCCTCTGCAATTTAAGTGTCAAAAATCGATTTTACATACGTTAAATTCGCTTTGAATCGTCGAGAGGTCTTCGTTCTGGCAATAATTAGAATTCGGAGTCGCCGATTAGCGGTAAACGCGGGGCGCGAAGACACGCGATAATATTAATATATACCACGCTCTTTTGTATCTCCTCGTATTCCTTTTTTTCGTCACGTTTCGAGTCGCTCATATGTATTTACGTTGAAACATCTATGTGCGACATACACACGCACGCACGTCACATACGTATCGCTTCCCAACTCGTCAATTTGTTCTGGATTTTCATCTCTTTGCGTTTCTTCCCTAAACCTCTATCTCGTTTTGTTTTCTCGATCTCCGAACTTTTTGATTTCTAAGTTCGCGAGACGACGATAAATCACGAATGCTCCTCGTATGGACGAAGCTGGGGAGAAATTTGTAGAGTGCCAAATTGCAACTCAGACAATACATACATCCAAAAGATGCGTAAGACATCTCAACAATTTGAAAGTAAACATTTAAATATATATATGTACATGTATAAAATTCTTTTGTTGAAACATTTGTTTCAAAAGAGGGAAAGAGAAATATAATCTGTACGGCATAAGAACAGAAATTACGACATATCGATTAGTCATTATTTAGATTGAATCTCTCTGTGACAATCTATAAATTCAAATTGATTAGTCAAATTAGACGTTACAAATTTGTTATTGCAATCCATGCCCAGCTGCCTTCTTATATTTCCGCTGAATTATATGAGGATTTTGAGAGCTTTGTGAGACTCTCGTTTTCTCGCAGTTTCAATTTTTCTAATATCTTCCTTCTGATCTAATATCTTCCTCGCGCGTTTTTTGCGTATTCTAGTTCTGTGAACGTGTAATATTAAGGCAACTCTTGTTACTAATTAATGATTCACTGTGTTGCGACTTTTTCTCTGATTTTTTTCTCCCTACGAAAAATCTCTTTTGCGCAACGGAGAAGTGTTAACCCTGATTTTCGGATTCTTCAGTTTCTCAGTACATCGGGTACATTCTACCACGCGAAACTACATGACATCCGGACGACGTGTGCACAAGTGTCGCGATGAAATGCAATAAATTATAATTGACTACTACTTGGCTACTCAATCAATAGGTCAGCGAAACTATGGAAATCAAAACTTCGTAACAATTCAATTGTCAAAATATAAAATTTCGGTTAGTTGTTACATTAATAACAATTATTATTATCATTGCTTTTCTTTTAAAGCGATTAATTGCAAATTTTAGCATTATTTTCCTTAACGTGAAATATCTAAATATAACTTTAAAATAATGATAAATATTTCAAACGGATAAAATAAAATTGAATTGATACAGAAATTTACTATAACCAGTTAGATAAGAATAAAATAAGTAAGAATAATTATATATTTGTATATATAAAATAAAGAATAGCTAATTTTTAATAAAAATAGATAATTAAAAATTAATTTATTTACGTTTTAGAGAAAATCCTGTTATAAAATTATGTACTTATTTCGACATTTATCGTGGCTGATTTCATATTGAAATTGATTTTTTCCATTCTGACTTTCGTTTTTCAATTTGTGTCTTCAATTTTTAAAAACCTATAACGATACCCGTGCACGCGTGTACTGGAAACGCGAAAGCACTCCGACCGGAAGAAATTGACGTTCTGCAACGATTCCGTCTTCTATAACACAATACACATCAATTCGCTAATCACGTTCGTACCGCAGCTACACATGACTTACAATTAATTAGATTCAGACTCAGATCAACGGATTTAAACCTCTCGGATATTATTTATAATATGTATAGAGATCGGTATTACAGATATATATATATATATATATATATATATATTTATATATTTATATATTTATATATAGAATTATCGACGAGATTTTTCGATTATTTGCAAAAGTATGAAACTCTACGGAGCCCCGGCGCCGACACGCGCCGAGAGAATTCTAGTGACAAAGTTTCCCTCTTTCACATTTACCTCTCCTCTCTCTCTCTCTTCCCCGCATCTTTTTCTCCGCTATTATGATTATTTATTATCGACAGGGCGTTCAACATTTCACACTAAACGCTTTCAATATTCGTTTATACCAATTAATATGTATATGCATAACATGTACGCGTGTGTGTGTAACCTATTTACGTGTAATACACATTTATATGTATATGTATTCTAGACGCATCATTTATGTGTGCCTCTATATACGTTGTATTTATATATTTATATATGTATAGATAAGTAGAAAAACTTAACTAATTTAATTTCTCTCTTCTATTTTCTTCTACCTTCATTCTTCACTCGCCCAAGAG